TTGTTGCAGTTGTCTTCGTTGCTTTAGCTGGCCCGGGCTGGGTTCGAACATGCCAGGCAAGGTGTATGTGGCCAGTGCCCTACCCACTGACCTATGGGCACTGCCTATCTCTGTGATTTTAATTTGCTGCCTTATTGTTATGACTGAGGCTGAACATTATTTCATGTTAGGAAGCCATTTGCTTTTCCTTTTCTGTAAACTGTAAATGTCACTCACTATTTTTTCTAATGGTTGGTCATATACTTACTGGTTTCTAGGAATTGTTTACATGTAGGGAGATTAACACTTTGTGAATTACAAATATCTTTTTTCCAATTTGCCATTTATCTTTTAACATTATGGAGTTTTTATCTTTGATAGTAATCCTATTAATTAATCCTGTTCTTCCTGGCGCTAGTCCAGTTGTTTCTGTCTCCTAAGAATCTCTGGAATTCCAAACACACCAGGCCGCTCTGGTGTGTTATTCACCTAAATGACTCTATTGGATTCTAAGTGGCATCTCAGACACAGTCACTTTCCTGTTTCACACTCTTCCTAACTAGTGGCTAACTAGTCCTCCTAGGAGGGAATGCAATGTCTTCCCTGCCGTGCTGCCCCGTGTGGTCTGGCTCCAGCTTACTCTTCAGTTTAATCTCTCAGTGGTCCCTACCAGACCCCTTACCAGTATGCTCTGGCCATACTGAACTGTTTCCTTTTTTTTTTTTTTTTTCTTTTTGAGACAGAGTCTCATTTTGTCATCCTTGGTAGAATGCTGTGGCATCATAGCTCACAGCAACCTCAAACTCTGAACCTGTGAGCTCAGGGCAGTCCACCCACCTCAGCCTCCTAGAGGGCTAGGATTACAGGCTTGAGCCACTGCGCCTGACAGTTACTTCTTCTTTTTCTTTTTCTTTTTTTTTATAGGTGATCGTTTTAATTGTGTAAGAAATATCAGAATACTGTTACAGTGTTAGTGATAGAAAAATATCTTCTTTCTAATCATTCACATTCAGCAATAGTGAAAATGCTCTCCATACATATCAGCTCTGAACAACCCCCTTCATGTCTGTTTCAAACCCGCTATGCCCTCTATTGCTATTTAGATGATTGCACAGTTCACCATACAACTGCATCCCACTTGGATCCTCAATAAGAAGTCTGATGAGGCAGGTAACTTCCCAATCATAAAAACTTAAGCTAAATATTATGCAAATAAGCATGGAAACCAGACCTGCCATAATCAGGATGAACAGACAACTCTAAAAAGAACACTGCACATGTAACGCCTGCTGCATTTGTACGCATTGACCTACATTCTCGGCTTCACCTCCTCCTCTCTGAAGTACTGAAGTGTAATTACACTAGAAAGTTACTAAAAGGTGTAATAGGAGAGAACTGTGTTTAAGAAAGCAAGGCTTTCAGATAAGAAATCTCCAAATATTTTCTATCTTATGTATTTTTATGATCTTTCATATAAGGAAGGAGTGTTTCCTGTGCAACACCTGCAAATAGCAACAGGTCTACATTTCACTCAAGTCCAACCAAGTACGTGAAGCAGACTACAATGGCAGCAATGATTCCCAGGGCAGCGTGTGCAAAATCTAATATTTTGCTGTCTATTTACATCATTGGTATCAGAAAAGAAACGTCCCAAAACTTCCTTTGCCATTCCACTTGGACTGATTCCCTGCAATTCTGACAAACATCTCCTGTGACATGAGGAGATGTTGTCATCAGCCTGTGTGATCCCCAGTTCACTCAGCCTTTTCTTCTTCATCTGGCCTTTTTGGGTAGAGGCAGCAACTAGTTCATTTAGAATTTCACAATTTCCCCTGACTTGCTCAGAAAGGTCAGAGCTCTCATGAAGCTTCATTTGACCAGCTGCACATTGAACTAGCTCTTCTAGACCCACTCTTCCAGTTGCATCTGCCCCTCCACTCGTCTGAAGTCTAAGTGCTCTATTTTATAAGACAGGTCTATCCTGCAGGGCTTCCACTGCCCGAGTTAATACTGGAGATATACGGCATGATTTCTTCTGTTGATGTTCTACATTCACATGCACACGTTCACAACTTTTGCATTTCCATGAAGATGGCATCAAAACCGAAACGAAGGTGGCTTCAGTGTTGACATTCCTGACAAACAACAAGCTCCAAAGGGGCAGAGTCCTTCCTCAGCACCACCGCTGAAGAGCACTTCCTTCTCCTCCTGGCTTAGAGACTCTTCCTCCAGTATTTGTGGCTCCTATTCTTGCTCTAGGACAAAGATCACCTCTGGTCTGACAACACAATACCCTGTGAGCTGTTTTGGTTTTTTTGGACTTGGCACTCAGTTGAACTACCTTGGGAGATCTTGGGCAAGAGTGCAGAGGACTTTAAGTGTCTAGGGCCTCAGACTGAGCTGCTGAGTCTGTGGGCCATGAGGAGCCACTGTGGGGGAACTGACACCCCCCTCCACAAGCTCCGCCCTCAGGGTCACAGAGCAAGGATCCAGTGGGAGGACAGACAGTTCTTAATCCACCTGCCAGAGAAAGCAATGGGCCTGCAACACCTTCACTTCTTTTTTTTTTTTTTTTTGAGA